TAGTATTTGTCAATTTTCTTTTCTGTCATCTTAGCCAAACTGATGACTATGGGGTGGTAACTCTGAGTTGTTTTAATTTGCATTTCTCTAATTATTAGTGATATAGAGCCTATTCATATCCTTTGACCATGTATCAATTGGGGAATACCTCTTATTTTTATAAATTTGGCTCAGTTCTCTATATATTTGGGAAATTAGACCTTTATCAGAGAAATGTGCTGCAAAATGTTTCCCTGTTTCCTGGTTTCCTTCTAATTTTTGCTGCATTGGTTTTGTTTGTGCAAAATCTTTTTAATTTAATTGTAATTAAAATTATCCATTTTACCTCCAGTGAACCTCTCTATATTTTGTTTGGTCATGAATTCTTCCCCTATCCATGGATCTGACAGGTAATTTCTTCCATGCTCCCCTAATTTGATTATAATACCCTTTCTGTCTAAATCATGTACCTATTTTGAGCTTATATTGGTATGGTGTGAGAAGTTGGTCCATGCCTAGTTTATGCCAGACTGTTTTCCAATTTTCCCAGAAGATTTTGTCAAAAAATGAGTTCTTGCCCCAGTAGCTAGTAACTTTGGGTTTATTAAACTATACTCATTAAGTCACTGTGCTCATTTGCCTCAGTACATTGTGAACCTACTCTATTCCATTAATCAGACACTCTATTTCTTATCCAGTACCAGATTCTTCTGATGGTTACACTTCAAAATATATTTTGAAATCTAGTAGTACTAGGTCCCTTTTCTTCACATTTTTTTCACATTGATTCCATTGATATTCCTAACCTTTTGTTCCTCCAAATGAATTTTGTTATTTTTTCTAGCTCTATAAAGTAATTTTTTATTGGTATGGCACTAAATAAATTAATTTAGGTAATATCATCATTTGATTGCTACTTTGCTTTTTTTTTTTTACTTCAGCTTACGTATAATAGATTCTGTTCCAGGTCCTCATTTTACTCAGGGTGTGTTATCTGCTATCTTCTTCTGTTTTATGGGTGAGTTCATCCCATTCACATTCACAGTTATGTCTGTTTATTGTGTATTTCACTCCATTCTATTTTCTCCTATTTATCTTTCTGTTTTTTTACCCTGTCCTCTCTTCAAATGTCTCTTTTGCTTCTGACCCCTGCCTCCCCCCTCTTAATCTGTGTCCCCTCATCACCCAATTCCTTTTTCCTAAACCCCTATAACTTTGTTATGTTCTTTATGATTTCTCACTCATGTTTGCCTTTTTATGCTTCTCTTGAGTCTTGTGTTCCTTCCACAAATCCTCCTGAGGATGTCCACCTTATGTTTTAGGTACCTTCCTCTTTAGTCACTGTATAAATATTGTCTTACATTTGAAAAATCAGGTGTGTCAACAGAAGATAGAGAAATGTAGCCAGACAACAGCCCAAGTGAAAACAAAGAATGACTTGGAGGTTTCGGTGTAATTTAAGCTCAATATGAAACAAAAATATGACAGTAGCCACAAACATTAATGTGATCTGAGGTTGGTAGAAATCCCATTTTCAATTTGCATGTCCTAGGGATAAAAGAGCTAATGTCAGGCTTCTCTCTAATAAAAGTCATAATAATTATGATAAATCTCATTTATAAAGTATCAAGGTACTTTATAGATATTATTTAGTTTGATAGAGGCATTGGGGCAAAGTGGATAGACCGCTGGCCTTAAAACCAAGAAGACCTGAGTTGAAATCTTGTCTCTAACACATTCTGGCTATGTGACCCTGGGTAAGTCACTCAGTCCTCAGTACTCTGGGCCACTCTTTAACTTCTTGTGAAAAGGGTGCCAACCTGCATTGGTAGAGAGAGTTTTCTTATCTGAGAATTCTCTATACCAATGAAATACCATTTATTCCCTATGTATACAGTTTAATCCATATAACAGCCCCATTAGTCAAATATTCTCCTCATTCTATGGTTGAAAAATGGAGGCTGGAGGTTTAAATCAGTTGACTAAACAAAACTAGCTAATGGGGGAACCAAGGCTTAACAACAAGAATTATTCCTACAATGTCCTGCTCATAGTCAACACTTAAATATTTGTCTCCTTGAATATTTTGTTGAACATGAAAAGAGTTATGGGCTTATCAAAGGAAGGAGAAAAATAGCTTGTAGATGCCATCTTCACCTACTTCCTCTTCCTTTTGGATGATATTTTATTTGGATATATCATTAAGGATGATCATTGGGTGTGCTTTGGTTTGGTAAGTAATGTATATCTAACACCAGAGGGCTAAAGAAGGAGGTTCATTGGTACTTGGTAACAGGACAAAAGAATTGAGGGGAATAACTCTCAGGAAAAAAAAATCATCTGGCACTTTCAGAACATAGAGCTATTGATGGACAGAGGTCAGAGGAAACACTTGCATAAGATCATTCTTTAGATTATGATTCCTTATAATCACATAATTAAAATTCAATTCAATTCAACAGACATTTGTCAAATGACTCTCTATAGCACTGCATTGGATACTAAGTTGGGAATTAGCAGGAAACAGCATATTATTCCCTCCCCATAAGCTCATTCTACAATGTCATTGAAGAGATAACACATAGACATCAAAAAGTTAAATATAAGATGGCAATATACGAATCCATGATAACTTAGTGGTAATAACAGTGTTATAGGAGAAATTCACAAAGAATTGTATAGTGATGTACAGACCTGGTCCATATATCATTATAGGTGGAGACATCATAGTGCAGTGCGAAAAACAATTCAACCTAGAATGGAGTTAAGAGATTTTCTACTCTAGGAGTTCTTAACCTTTCTATCTGTATCATGGGCCCCTTTGGCAGTCTGGTGAAGACTATGAACTCAACAGAATAATTATTTTAATGCAGAAAATAAAACACATAGGATTACAAAGGAAACTAATTACATGGAAAATTAAAAAAAAAAATTTTAAGTTCATGAACCTTAAGTCTTTAAGAACCCCTGTATCTCTTCCATATGTACCTGAAAAAGAATTCCCCTTTCGTGGTTGTTTTTAGGAAATTTTTGAAACGGTGGGGGGGGGGGGGGGGGATGTACACAGGACATACTTTTAAATTTACTCTGCATCATTAACATTTTCTCCATCACTTTCTTATGTCTATACAATCAACAAAATAATAAACCAATCCAGATTTTTAGCATTTGCTGATTTCTGAGATAAATGCTTATACTGAAAATTTAACCATCATCTCTCTCAAGAAGGCAAGCACTGGCTTCAGTCACTTCCCAAGTAGTACTCACCTGTCATCCATATCTTTGATATCATTTGTGCCTTTATCCATGCCACTGATAAAAATTGAACAGTACATATTCAGCCTTTGTTGGAAGACCTCCAGAACAAGGGAACCACCTGCCTTCCAAGGCAGCCTATTCTAAGGTAGGAAGTTTTTCCATAGATCAAACTAAAGCCTGCCATCTTTCAGCTTCTGCTTACTTCTCCTAATTCTCTCCTCTGTGGATAAGCAAAATAAATGCAACCCATATCTCATATGAAAACCCTTCAAATCCTTAAAAAGATCCATCACTTCCTCCCCCTAGTCATTTTTTCCAGGATAAACATTCCTAGTTACCCAAAATGCCCTTATATGACATAGTCTCTGATCGTCTCACCATTGTGGTTGCCCAGTCCTCTAGATTGTCAATATACTTTCTAAAATGCAGAATTTAATATAATACTGCAGATATATCTGATCAGAGCAGAGTAACATGGAACTATTAGCACCCTCATTCTGGACAACTGCTTCTATTAATATAAAGATCATGTCAAGGATTGGATTTTGGTTTTGTACCTGTTCTGATACCTCACCCTAACGTGAGGATTACCCTGGATCTAGCAGATCACAACCTCTGGTAGGTTATTCCAAGCTGGAAAGGCTTTGAGTGTGATCCCAGCAAGAGACTGTCTGTCATCACAGGATAGAATTAGTTAAGTTCAGAGATGCTCATTATCAGAGAATTGGTAACCAATTAATAATTTCTTGGACCACATCAAACACTAATGTTTAATAAGCTCCCAGTGCTCTAGGCAATTCTTTAAGTTATTGTGAACTGCATGGGGGGAGGGGATATCTATGCTGACAAAATCACAATCTTTGAAATATTGAAATCGGCAGATAATTAATCATGAATAGAACAAAATGAGGGAGTTAAATCTAAGGAGTAAATTTTAGATCCCTAGATAAACAGAATCATACTATACCTAGTCATTTTATCACCAAGATATTCAAAGATAATCTTATTAGAAATAAGCTGAATGTCCAAGAAATTAAATTAAAGGCTAACACCAAATACAGGCCACTATTGGTGGCACAGCAGATAGAATGCCAGATCTGAAGGCAGGAAGACCTAAGTTCAAATCCGACTTCAGACACGTGCTAGCTGTGTGACCCTGGGCAAGTAACCTAACCCTGTCTGCCTCAGTTTCCTCATCTATAAAATGAGCTGGAGAAGAAATAACAAACCACTGCAGTATCTTTGCCAATAAAACCCTAAACGGGATTACAAAGAATTCTCATGAATGAAATAACATAGCAATAACACACTCCAAATATGGTAAATGGGTCAAGTGTTCCACTTTTCCAAGGACAGGTTTTCAGAAGATGATTATTTACAGAAATATGAAATGCAATTAAGATATCTATGAAAAGGATGACACAATGCTGTTTTATATCTTTAAACTTGAACTACTTCCATGGCAATAGCCATTGTGACATCAGAGTCTGGTCACCTGACCAACCCACACATGAGTCCAATATTCCAAAGAGTTCTAGTTGGGTGTCCTAAGAGAAGAGAGCAACCCAGCATCCTTTAACATTATCTCTGGTGTTCCTCATGTTAGGGCCTTCTAGCTGGCTTATATAGAAGCCATCCAACAAATAGGAAGGGAAAAACCTACTTTGTTCCAGTGTTGTTTTCCTCTGTGTTTTTGGTTTAGTTCCTTCCCTTCCCTTCTGCCCTCGCATCTCAACCACATCCACCCTATTTTACTATGAAAAATGATTCGGCTTCTGACCAAAAGGGTAAAAACTGCAGCTGGGCACATAAGGACCATAAATTACTATTCAGTGCAAAAATATTTTAAAAACAATGTTCAGATTTGCAAGGTACAGCCCCAGACTTCAGTAAGAGTGCTATCTAAGACAACAGATGGTCGTCCCATAGATGCCTTTAGCAGAAATGAAATGAATTTACCTTTAACTGTAATGTTTCAAGACATTAAAACTTCACAAGATGTCCTTTTGAGCCAATTGACTGACGTCGTTACTGCCATGTCCGCAATCCAGGAAAAAAATTGATACTGATCAGAAGCAGATGGAAGTGATAGAAACCAGGGTGAGTGTTAATGAAGACAGGTAATCCAAGATGGCTAATGATCTCCTCTTAATAAAAGATGTTGCAGTTTTGAAGAAGATAGCCACAGATTTCGAAACTCAGAGTCCCATGCTCCACCTTGCACTGTGTGGAGATTGCTGAAGGAGAGAAGAGCAGAGAAGTTGTGGTACTGATCCACAATGTCACGGGACCTACAATACGACAAAATTTCACCGGTGGCCACAGCTGAACTAGAGAAAGGCCATGGCACATCAGGACCTAGATCCCACCAAGATGAAAAAGCTGGCTCCCAGGGGATAAAAACCTTGAAGGAAAACAGTCAAGAAATTCAGTGAGGAGCTTAAAGAAAGAAAATTCAAGTATCTGTATTTATCCAGACTTCAGTACGTGGATCAAACTCATTTTTGTCCATGGAGGGAAGTGGAGGTTTCTCAGTGCTACCAAACTGGAAGAATTTCTTCGAATGGGTCCTTACTAAGCCAGCAGTCTTCCCTGGAAAGCCCCAGCTCATAGCCTAAAGACATTATCCATTTGCTGGGCCTTTCACATGCCTGACTACTCTGTGTCTGTCTGCTTTCAATTACCTCTACTGCTTTTTTCATTCTACAAAAGAACAAGTAACTAGAATGTAGAGTGTTTTAGAGAGTCTATTATCTCATGATTTGACTGACATGAAATAAATGTATCTTGGTTGCCCCGGGTATTCACTTGTCTATTTGGCAGCAGGGACCCGCTTTGTGAAATGTTCCTTTTTTGAGTCAGGGCTCTGCTAAGTTTCTGAATAGGAGCAGAAAATTCAGGCATGGGCTCCAACTGTTCTGTCATGATTCATTTCCTGATGCTGATAGTGACATTTCATAGGGATTTGCCAGACCCAGAACTAGCATTTTCTGTGCACCAGGAAAGTTTCAAAAAATGCACTCAGGACAAACCGGAAAAGAGCTTTCAAGTCAATATTTAAAGAAAAATGCCATCCAGGGATGGGAGAGGGAGAACCTAGGGCACATGGCCCCATGGCGGGGGGGGGGGGGGGGGGGGGGGGGGTAGCCCCCCCCCAGGGGGGGGGGGGGGGGGGGGGGGGGGGGGGGGGGCAAGACCTTTAAGCACCACCTTGATCAGGATAGATAGAGACTCCAGAACATCCTATACAACTACTCAAGATGCTGCTGCCTGGGGGAAGGGGAACAGAGCAGGATTCGGCCAAAAAGAAACCTAAAGCATGGCTACTTGAGGATTGGGAGGAGGTGGGTAGAAGGAAAGAATCATGCAAACTGGGTATCTTCCTGTTTTAATTATTCTTGCTAACTAGGTGCTAAGCTCAGTTGTTTCCACACTGTTGAAGGAGTGGGTTGTCAATGTCCCTTAAATTTCAATGCCCAGGGTGAAGCTCTGATCACCCTACCCTCATTACATCTCCATGGCTTGCTTCTAACCCAAGAGAAGTAGTGCAGAGTAGTAGAAAGAAAACCTTCGTGCTAGGAAGACTTGAGTTCAAATCCAGACTCTAACACATACTGGCTGTATTACCCTGGACAAGTCAATGTTTTAGGCAACTCTCTAATGTTATAAGGTGCTAGCCTGTATTGGTGAAGGAAGTCTTCTCATCATGGGCTTCCTAATACCAGTGTAATCACAAATTAGTCAACAAGTATTTGTTAAGCACTTAACTAAGTTCCAGGCATTCTTCTAATTGCTAGGGATAAAAAGAAAAGTAAAGACACAGTCCCTCACCCTCAGGGAGTTAACATTCTAATGGCAGAGACAACATTTGCACATCAATGTACATACATAATATGTAGAGACTGGTTGTAAGATAATCACCCAGGGAAGACACCAGCAGCTGTAAGGAAAAGGAGACGGAAGACTGAATTAGGATTCTTGCAGAAATTAAGATTTGATCCAAGTCTTGAAGTCAGCCAGGGATGTTGTAGGTGGAAGTGACAGAGGAGAGCATTCCAAGCACGAGGGACGGCTAGTGTGAAAGCAAAGTTTTGGGTAAATAGAGGGTGTTTCACACGAGAAACAGCCAGAGTGTAGACAGCAGGTATTGCTAGATCATAAAGTATTAGGAATATAGTAAGGTATAAGAAGACTGAAATGATAGGAAAGGGCCGAGTTGTGAAGGGCCTTAAAAGTCAAAGAGAGTCTTTTATATTTGATCCTGGAGGTAATAGAGAGCCAGTGAAATTATTGAGTAAGGGTGACATGTACAAACCTACTCTTCAGGAAAAGTAGAATGGATTGGAGTGGGGAGAGACTCGAGGCAAGGCAGTCTGGACATAAGGTGAAAAGAGCCAGGGGCTGCTAGGTGGTGCAGTGGATAGAGCTCCAGCCCTAGAGTCAGGAGGACACGAGTTCAAATCCAGCCTCAGACACTCAACACTTACTAGCTGTGTGACCCTGAGCAAGTCACTTAACCCCATTGCCTAGACCAAAAAAAAAAAAAGAGCCAACCTCAGGTTGATGGCCGAGTGGAAAGAAAGGAGATGTACATGAAAAATGCTATAAAGGTAGAAATGTCAAGTTTTGGCAACTAATTGGATATGTAGAGTAAGTATGACAGAATAGTCAAGGATGATGACCCTGAGGTTGCAAGCCTGGGTTACTAGACCTTGGTCAGTAACAGGAAAGTTTGGAAGAGGAGAGGATTTGAAGGAAAAGATGAGTTCTTTTGGTCATTTTGAGTTTGAGGTGACTATAGGACATCCAGTCTGAGATTTTTAAAAGGCAATTGGTAACCCAAGACTGGGGATCAGGAGAGACTAGGGCTGGACATAGAGATAGGCATTATACGCATAAAGGTGATAATTGAATCATGATAGCTGATGAGACCACCAAGTGAATAGTATAGAGGGAGGAGAGGCAGGAGTCTAACATAGAGCCTTGGGAGATATCTGGCCTCTGGATGAAGAACCAGCAAAAAAACATTGAGGAAAAGGTCCGACCCTATTTTCAAATATAAATAGAAGCAATATCAGGGAATAAAAGAGGCAACTCAACATCATACGTTGCTTGAGTTGCTTGGGATAGCAAAAAAAAAAAAAATGTCCTTCCAGTAGCCAGAGGTCCTCATAGAGGAGGAACAGCCAGCTTCCTACCCTTTTCTTGATACTCTTTAAAATTAAATTTGTGATACCAAAGTCATACTACCTTAACAGAACTTTAAGAGCTACTGTTAAGGTTTCTAAATGTATAATCACATGAGAAGCAGCAAAGTAGGCTTGAAGTTGAAGTGTTGGCTATGGCAGATTCGAACTCAAGAAGATGAGTCTTCCTGACTCCAGGCCTCATACTCTATCCGCTAGGCCACCTAGCTGCCCCTCTCATGTAGTTGGCATCTTACTATAGTCAGTATTATTCACAGGTTCCCAAAGTGTGTGATACTGCCCCCTAGGGGGCACTGGAATGATGGGGGGGTAGTAAGCCTCTGGTGAAATTGGGGGGATGTTGAATAAAAATAGAGAGCAATGGAAGCAGAAGGAAAGAAGAGAAGATAAAATTTTGAAAAACCGTTCATACATATTTCATCTGTTGCGTAACAGTTAAAGTCGTGGTGATTACATTATTTTGCAAATAAACACACAAAATGCAAGCTATAAGTAATCAGTGGTCAAGCCCGCTGACAGGTCTTGACAAGCAAATGTTGGCAGGTGAGCATTTCGGGCATTGTCCGGAAGTCCAGCGTGCATTGGCAGGAATATGTGCGTGGGATGATTTGTTTACAATATGATACTATACAGTTACGTGACACAATGTTGTGTCATCAAAATTTCAATGCAGGAAAAAAAACCATACATTTACAAAAATAAATAAATTTTACAACAATTCACAACAATAAATAAAATTTAAGATGTGTCATTTTTTAAAAATATATTTTATATTTTTTGAAATGACACAAATTTCAAAAAACGATTAAAGGTTTAAAGAGAGTAGATTCCCAGGGGCAGGGGTGTGTGTGAGTAATTTCTTTTTAAAGGGGGCAATAGGCCAAATAAGTTTGGGAACCTCTGTTACTATTGAATGAATGAAGACTTACCGTGTAAAAAATGTCTTCATTTCTAATTGTGTATAAATTTTAACCAATTGTAGTAATAAAGTTTGTGACAAATTAAGAGTTTGTCACTGTCGGAGGCAGCTAAATGAAGCATTGGATAGAGAATTGGAGTTACAGTCAGGAAAACCTGAGTTCAAATAGTGCCTTAGATATTTATTAGCTGTGTGACCCTCTGTTAGTTAACTTCTGTCTGCCTCATTTTCCTCACCTGTAAAACGGATATAATAATAGTACCTACTTCCCAGGGTAGTTATGAGGATCAAATGAGATGATATTCATAAAGTTTTTTGCAAGCCTTAATATTGCAATATAAATGCTAGCTATTGACTATAGTTATCTGTACATCAAATCACAGTTATTGCCTGGTCTCCATGTTTTCTTTCTTTTAATTTCTACATGCATTTATTAAACACATATTATGTGTCAGGAAGTGTATTAGACTCTAGTGATACAAAGAAAAAAATGAGACAGTCCTTGTCCTCAAGGAACCTACTTTCTACTGGGAAATCACAGGATTAAATTAAATTAAATGACAGATAAAAAGATACAAGATAAATACAAAGTGAAGACAAAGTTATACGAGGGAAGGAGAGACTAAATTCAGGTAAATAAGGAATGGCACTTGGTCCAAACCTTGAAAAGAGTTTTCCAAGAAGCTGAAGTAAAGAGGGTGAACATTTCAGAAACGGGAGACAGATTATGCAAAACCGCAGAGGCAATAGGAGATTACATTACAAGGATTAATGCATGGGCCAGGTTGGCTGAAATTTCAGAGTGAAGATGTGTAAGGTTTAATTACCCTGGAAGAATACCATGGGACCCAGATTATAAAGGTCTTTGAACTCCCAACAGAGGAGTTTGAAGACAAAAGGGACGTAGTGAAACTTCCTCAACAGTTAAATGTTGTGGTCTCTCACCATGGAAGGTGACGGATCTCAGATCAGACAGAAAATTCTTATGACTACTTAAAAGGCCTGGCTTATTTCTCTCTTAAAGGAAAAACTTCCTTGCTAGTGTACTTTTTTTTCCCTGTAGGAGAATCTTTAACAGACTCAATTCTCAGACTGTGAAGTGATTTCATACGATCATAGATGTATAGCTGGAAGGTGCATCAGATGCCACCTAGTCCAATTTTACAGTTGAGGAAACTAAGGTTCATATATGTTAAGTGACTTGCCCAGGGTCACACAAATGGTAGATAATGGCGCCAGGATTCAGACTCTGACTCCATACCCACCATTCTTTCTACTCTCCATCTGTGAGTATGTCTTAGCCCCTTGCTAGACTGTCTTAAGGCAGGGACATTGTCTCCTTCTGCACTTCTTTCTTTAAATTAAATTTCATTTTTAAGGATTAATTCAACAATTTAATAATCATCAACAAATATAAGCATTTCACTTTACAAAGATGACATATGGAATCATGAACTTGTGCTTTGTAGTTTTTTTAAGTGCAGATTATTCTAGTTTGTGACCCATTCTGAAGTTCCTTTCAGAAATGTTTTAAGTGTTATTGAAGCTCTCTTTTTTCTTCTTGTAATCTTTCTCACCACACATCAACTCACCTTACTCACTAAAA